GGGTCCTGTGGGATGGGTTGGAATTGGCCTTGAAAAGCCCCTATGGGGAGTGGTCAACTAACGTATGTATGTATTGTAGAACTTTGACCAGCTGCAAGAATTCCAATGCCCCAAATATACAACGCTGCTTTTCGAAACATGCATCCGAGAAAGACACCCTGAAAAGATACACGGACAGGATTTTAAAACGATCACCACTACACTGCAATAATTAACGACTTTTCACCGAACGAAGTGTGGGTGGTTCGTGGTGAAGTATTAAATAAAGGTATTCATTCATTCATTCATATGCACCGCTAGCCACATATACTGAGGTGAATATTTGTTTTAGAAAATATTAAATCATTGAGATAACATAGCACAAAAAGATGATTTTAACTCACTTATTCCTGCAAAGATTGCAATATTTTCTGGCGCATACTCCACCCACGTTGCTCAGGATGAATAAAAAAGAATAATCGGAATTCAAGCGGCCAATCAGAGCGCGCCTTTAACGCTCTCCACTGTTTTGGTATAAACTAATCGCTACAATTCACTGCCTCAACTAATGTCTTACTTATTAGTACACCATTAGTTCTTACCCCTTTGAAAAGGTCTCCGTCGATGGCTATAGTTGATAAACATAGAGAAATGAGAGTTCGATATTTTCTGATTTTATAGATTAGATTTGACAGATCAATGAAGAAACACTTTCATCAAAAGTTTACCTAATGTTTGTATTTGAAAAGTTAACAAAATTGTTCCAAGATTCATACTTTAGGATCTCCGATCTTGTCCACATCAAATATGTCAACTTGGCTTCTGCTGTAATTAAGGCATTTGTGATACTGAAAAGAAAGAGATTGTCAGAGTTTTCATTAAGAAATGTAGTAACACGACAATATTGAAAGTAAAAGGGAAGGTACTCAACAATATCAAGCAGCTAAGTGATGAAAATAAAGAAAAGTGTCTGTTAGGGAGAGGGGGTTGTTAGTTGATCAAATACCAAATTCTCCAAACTAACACCATAAGAGTTGCAATACACACAGTATGGAGAATTATTACTGAGATCTTGGGAATGAAAGGGATACGCGTTTGCTAATTATTTTTTAGTGTAATTCGTACTTATTTCTTTTTTCACGTTTTGATAACTTCTTTGTTCGTACTTTTTGTAAGTTTACAGGTAAAAACGAGCGATAAGTGAGTTTGTTAGCGTTTTTCCTCGTCAGTTACACCTTTTTTGCACGTTTCTCATACCGCACGTTATTTTGCGCCCCTTTTGAAATAAGCCAGTTTCTTTTTACGCAGGATCGCTTTTTTAAGTCAGTTTATCCACAGCTGCGCTCGGCACAGTTCTCTGTTTTAGAAATATTCCACTCATTCGCTATTGCAGTTGTCACTGTAGATATTTTTTCCATTTCGCTTGGTTTGTACTCTTTTTTGTCTGTTTGTAATGATTTGTTTATCTTGGTTAACTTAGCTTTGATTCATAGCTTTAGTTTCAACCTACTGCTGCTGGTGAGTAACAAATAGACAAATTTCTCAGTTAGACGAAGAGTGACCAGCATCTAATTTCTCCTTACAATACCATTCCAAAATGAAACATTAAGGTCACGAGAATAAAGGAAATGATCGGAAACTAAAGAAGCTCCTGATTGTTAAACAAGCTCTCCTTGTCAGCACCTTAGAAAATGTATAGAGAACAGTATGGAGAATATGAGTACTGATGCTGGGGTGTGTGGGGTTGACCTGTGAATGTGCTAAAAAAATCTGAC